CGCCCGACGCTTGCCGAGGCGGGTTCGTTCGTGGATAGCTTCCGTGAGCTCCTGCTCATCGACGTCCATCGCGTTCTCGTCCTGTTGTGCGACACCCGCGTTGGCCTCGCTGTCATCCAGCGCGACAGGTTCTTCGCCGCTGCGTATCCTCCTTCGGCTAGAGCTTGGCTCCCCGGCGCGTTGTTTGCCCTTCGCGGCGGTGGTATCCTCGACGCGTTTCTTCTCCTGTCTGGAGCGTGTACCCGCAGCGCGTTGCTTTCCTTTACCAGCCACGTCCTCCCTACTTTGCGCAACGGCGAGACTGCGGGCGAAGGAAGTATTGGTGGCGTTGAAAGGTGGCCTTTCGGCAGCAACACTGGCAATCTTGCGTTCTACTCTGTCCGGTTCTTTAGGGAAATTCATCTTTAAGATCTCATCCCACATCCCCGCTAAATTGTCGAGAGTCCAGGATTCCGGGTAATCTTCCAACAACGCGCCTTTCTCGTTGTTCAGACTCATGGCTTTGTCTAACCAATCTTGCAAGGTCGGAGGTTCGAATGTGAATTTGGCAGTATGGAGTCGCTTCCACTTGTTCATCGCCTTGGCTTGTCCGCCCTTATCCTTTCCGCCAATGATCATGTGTTCATCGAAGAACTTAGAGAAGAAGTCCTCCAGGTCGTCTCCATCTTGATTATGATTCAGCCATCGGGCAGCGCAGTAGAGGACTACATAGAGTAAAGACTCCATGTCGTCCTGAATAACGTGCCTATAGTTGGAGGTAGTCAGGACGTTCACTGACATGAACTGCCAGGTACCCTGCAATCCCGTTTTAACGAATGGTTCCGTGACTTGGACTAATACACTTACCGTGATGAGCCATTCGCGGCCCCCTGGAGCACGGTTGACGTCGCAGCAGAACTCCCAATCTATTAGATATCCGGTTCTTCTATCCTCGCCAGGCTTCCTAAACAATACAATGTTTCTTGCACTTAGATCGCGGTGGATCTTCTTGGCCTTTTTGTAGGCATCCATCATTGCTGGAGTGGGAGACCGTCAGTGAAGTCTTATACTAGAAGACGCACAACAACGTACCATCGAGAACGTCGCGGGTACTGCGAAGAAGCTCCTTCGAGCTCTGAAGATGGGGTAGGCTGTAGCCAGCGATATCCAACACGACTCTATAGTGTGCGTGCCGTTTAACCGTGATCTCTCGAGACTTTCCAACTACACCAGTGCCTTTACACAACCACGGAGCTTTGACGAACTCGTGTGTACGCGTCTCTTGATATTCTGTATCTGATCAGAGACCGATGGTCACTCGATTGCATGCGAGAAACGAGCTCAATGCTCACCATGTTCACTACTTAGCTTCACATCACCATG